ATATCCCCTATACACGCACTCTCTCTCTCTCTACAGCCCCTATAAACAAACTCGCTATATCCCCTATACACGCACACTCTCTCTCTCTACAGCCCCTATAAACAAACTCGCTATATCCCCTATACACGCACTCTCTCTCTCTCTACAGCCCCTATAAACAAACTCGCTATATCCCCTATACACGCACTCTCTCTCACTCTCTACAGCCCCTATAAACAAACTCGCTATATCCCCTATACACGCACTCTCTCTCACTCTCTACAGCCCCTATAAACAAACTCGCTATATCCCCTATACACGCACACTCTCTCGCTCTCTACAGCCCCTATAAACAAACTCGCTATATCCCCTATACACGCACACTCTCTCGCTCTCTACAGCCCCTATAAACAAACTCGCTATATCCCCTATACACGCACACTCTCTCGCTCTCTACAGCCCCTATAAACAAACTCGCTATATCCCCTATACACGCACTCTCTCTCGCTCTCTACAGCCCCTATAAACAAACTCGCTATATCCCCTATACACGCACTCTCTCTCACTCTCTACAGCCCCTATAAACAAACTCGCTATATCCCCTATACACGCACTCTCTCTCGCTCTCTACAGCCCCTATAAACAAACTCGCTATATCCCCTACACACGCACTCTCTCTCACTCTCTACAGCCCCTATAAACAAACTCGTTATATCCCCTACACACGCACTCTCTCTCACTCTCTACAGCCCCTATAAACAAACTCGTTATATCCCCTACACACGCACTCTCTCTCACTCTCTACAGCCCCTATAAACAAACTCGCTATATCCCCTATACACGCACTCTTTCTCACTCTCTACAGCCCCTAGCCGCACATTTTACACTACAAACACAACACGACTGAAACTGACCTATTTACACAAAACACCACGCAATCAGCTTCCACTCTACACACACGCATTCCCACAAGCAGCTTCCAAACACATTCATGAACATACAAAATGAAGCTCTGTGCTCAAACTCTCACCACTCCTGAGCAGCAGTAATGACTATAGTACACCGCAACCTCAATACAATAAAACCCAAAGAAAATGTTTGCTTCTGCAGTATCCAAATTCCCTATGCACAAATAAATGGAGTTTTTTTTAGTATCACTCCAGTGGCCATTAAAGTGGAAGCTCACCTGCCACGTCCAGACGTGGACATGTTAAGTCCACAATATGCTTTCCTGGCCCTTTTGTCCTCTAATATCCCATTTATGGAGACACCAGAGACAAGTCACAAGCAAACACAGAGCAAGCATGTCATTTCATTTGCTTGCGCTGAGTAAATACAGGACCTTTTTCTCATGTGAGATCTTTTCAGCAGGGCTCTGCACATGGGCTGAACTGGAAGAGCATTGCGCCAACATGCTTACTTTGAGAGGGGGGGTGATAAACCCCTCCCCTATATGTCCTTCCCATTGGGTCGCAGTGATTCAAAAATGCTGGGGCCAAATATTTTCCCCAGTCCAGCCCTGCTAGGATGCACCTAGTTGTGGGATTATAAACCACCCAGGTGCAGTGTGTATACAGTTAGTACCCCTTTTGAGTTTTAGTTATGAGAAAAGAATTCCTCTTGATCGCCAATATAAACAGAAAAAACAAGATGTACCTATAAAACTCATAGGGTAGTAACGTTAGTTGTAATAAACCCCAATTTCAAAGTTGCGCTCACAGATTAGCCGAAAATTCAGGTTTATCAATAATGTGTAATCATAACCATAACAGCTGGGGCTATGGGGGGCACAGGGTATAAAGGTGGGGACACAAGGGGCGAGGACAGGGGCTGCTTTTAAAAAATGGATTAAAAAAAAAACAGTGACTTACATTCCTCTTCTCCCAGACTCCCCACTGGCCCCGGGTGGAAGAGCAGCGAAATTCACCCCCCCTCCTCCTGACATCATCAGCAGAGGCCGGCCGACTCCACTAGCTGCAGGGAGAGAGGTGAGTTGAAAAATCCGAGTCCTCAGGATTCAAATTTTTGCGTCGCCCTACTCTGGCGCCCTAAGGCGGCCGCTTATGTCGCCTTATGGACACGCCGGCCCTGACCATACTCACCACAATAAACGGTAATGATTATTGTGGTTTGCTTTTCCCATTTACTCTTCTCACAGTTGCATGAGTGGCCAAAAGATGGCTACTGAAATGTGCACAGCAGAAATTGTCAGTTTGTCCAAATGAATTTGGATAAAAACTGATTTTGTTTATTATGCGATTTGTTTTGGATGAAATTTGTCCAATGTTTTTGTTTCTGAATTTGTATTCGGATTAAAGGACCACTATAGGCACCCAGACCACTTCAGCTCAATGAAGTGGTCTGGGTGCCAGGTCCATCTAGAATTGACCCCGCAGCTGTAAACGTAGCAGTTTTAGAGAAACTGCTATGTTTACAAATGGGTTAATCCAGCCTCTAGTTGTTGTCTCATTGACAGCCGCTAGAGGCGCTTCCCACAGCGCCGAGGGAGCCCCGTGCTGGAGAAAGGTAAGAATTTAACCCCTTCCTCCCCCTAGAGCGGGAATCAGAGGGTGGGAAGGACCCAAAGACCCTATAGAGCCAGGAAAACAGGTTTGTTTTCCTGGCACTATAGTAGTCCTTTAATGGAATGCCGCAATCACCAGCAAATCTTCCAATGGTTATCCAATAGATAAGTCCCTAATTAAGGACTTTTCAGCTGTTTAGTAGATAACTCCCTAAATAAAATTGGTAAACTCATGTGGGATTGCCAGATTTAAGGGTACCACATTAGAATGCTGTTTAGTAGATAGTTCTTTTATTTCTTTTCCTTAAATATGGACCATCGGAAAACAAGTGATGGAGTTGTCTACTAAACAGCTGAAAGACCAAATTATGAAAAGCCCTTTTCTTAATTTTTTTCCAGCGGTTTAGTAGACAGCTCCCTTATTGGTACCTTACATGGGATTGCTATATTTACGGTTATTAAATAAGGGAGCTATTAAACACATCAGCTCCCTAATTTGGTACCTTTAAACATGATAATTCCACATAAGGGTACCAATTCTATGTATTGACAAGACGGAACTAATGAACAAATCGTCATTGGAAGAATTGTATTTATCGTGTGATTAGCTCTTTCTTCCATTGTGCCATTCCAATGAATGCGCCAAATTGCACTTTTTCTGAAAGCGAATGCCCAAGTCTAGTGATCAGTACATGACGGTGGGACACTATCCTTGCCAGCTTTATTAACCCTGTCACTGTTTGTGGGTAAAGGTTTGCAGTGCATCACAGTGAGACATTCACTAATCTCCCATATAATCCAGCATGTGAATCCTGGCAGATTAAATTAATTCATATTATTCTATAATTACCCCCTCCCCCATTTACTGCCATAAACACTGATTGCAGGAGTTCAATAATCTGACACTGACCCCCCCCCCCTCCCCCCTCCCTGGGGCAGGACTCCCAATAATAAAATAATATAAAAGTGCAGGGAATGTGCTGCTGTGTGATCCCCCTGTGCCCCCCTCTCTCTCTGGATCCAGCCAGCTCAGAGCTCAGGAGGGAATCCCAGCAATTTATCAGCTATTTCCTGGATCATGTGACAGCTGCAGTCACATGACTTCTCATATCAGAGCTCCCCCCTCTCTTGTTGTGCTGGGAGGACACAGGCTGCTGCAGGTCAGTGTGAGTAAAATACACATTATATCAGATAGAGAGCTCCCCCTGGGCTCCAGCAATAATCTCTGCATGTTCCCATTGATCCTGGAATTAGGGATTCCTGCTCTCTGTGTGTGCAGACACTGGGGGGAAGGGATTGGGCTCCAGCAATAATCTCTGCATGTTCCCATTGATCCTGGAATTAGGGATTCCTGCTCTCTGTGTGTGCAGACACTGGGGGGAAGGGATTGGGCTCCAGCAATAATCTCTGCATGTTCCCATTGATCCTGGAATTAGGGATTCCTGCTCTCTGTGTGTGCAGACACTGGGGGGAAGGGATTGGGCTCCAGCAATAATCTCTGCATGTTCCCATTGATCCTGGAATTAGGGCTTCCTGCTCTCTGTGTGTGCAGACACTGGGGGGAAGGGATTGGGCTCCAGCAATAATCTCTGCATGTTCCCATTGATCCTGGAATTAGGGATTCCTGCTCTCTGTGTGTGCAGACACTGGGGGGAAGGGATTGGGCTCCAGCAATAATCTCTGCATGTTCCCATTGATCCTGGAATTAGGGATTCCTGCTCTCTGTGTGTGCAGACACTGGGGGGAAGGGATTGGGCTCCAGCAATAATCTCTGCATGTTCCCATTGATCCTGGAATTAGGGATTCCTGCTCTCTGTGTGTGCAGACACTGGGGGGAAGGGATTGGGCTCCAGCAATAATCTCTGCATGTTCCCATTGATCCTGGAATTAGGGATTCCTGCTCTCTGTGTGTGCAGACACTGGGGGGAAGGGATTGGGCTCCAGCAATAATCTCTGCATGTTCCCATTGATCCTGGAATTAGGGATTCCTGCTCTCTGTGTGTGGAGACAATGGGGGGAAGGGATTGGGCTCCAGCAATAAGATCTGCATGTTCCCATTGATCCTGGAATTAGGGATTCCTGCTCTCTGTGTGTGCAGACACTGGGGGGGAAGCGATTGGGCTCCAGCAATAAGATCTGCATGTTCCCATTGATCCTGGAATTAGGGATTCCTGCTCTCTGTGTGTGCAGACACTGGGGGGGAAGGGATTGGGCTCCAGCAATAATCTCTGCATGTTCCCATTGATCCTGGAATTAGGGATTCCTGCTCTCTGTGTGTGGAGACACTGGGGGGAAGGGATTGGGCTCCAGCAATAATCTCTGCATGTTCCCATTGATCCTGGAATTAGGGGTTCCTGCTCTCTGTGTGTGCAGACACTGGGGGGAAGGGATTGGACTCCAGCAATAATCTCTGCATGTTCCCATTGATCCTGGAATTAGGGATTCCTGCTCTCTGTGTGTGCAGACACTGGGGGGAAGGGATTGGGCTCCAGCAATAATCTCTACATGTTCCCATTGATCCTGGAATTTGGGATTCCTGCTCTCTGTGTGTGGAGACACTGGGGGGAAGGGATTGGGCTCCAGCAATAATCTCTGTATGTTCCCATTGATCCTGGAATTAGGGATTCCTGCTCTCTGTGTGTGCAGACACTAGGGGGGAAGGGATTGGGCTCCAGCAATAATCTCTGCATGTTCCCATTGATCCTGGAATTAGGGATTCCTGCTCTCTGTGTGTGCAGACACTGGGGGGAAGGGATTGGGCTCCAGCAATAATCTCTGCATGTTCCCATTGATCCTGGAATTAGGGATTCCTGCTCTCTGTGTGTGGAGACACTGGGGGGAAGGGATTGGGCTCCAGCAATAATCTCTGCATGTTCCCATTGATCCTGGAATTAGGGGTTCCTGCTCTCTGTGTGTGCAGACACTGGGGGGAAGGGATTGGACTCCAGCAATAATCTCTGCATGTTCCCATTGATCCTGGAATTAGGGATTCCTGCTCTCTGTGTGTGCAGACACTGGGGGGAAGGGATTGGGCTCCAGCAATAATATCTGCATGGTCCCATTGATCCTGGAATTAGGGATTCCTGCTCTCTGTGTGTGCAGACACTGGGGGGAAGGGATTGGGCTCCAGCAATAATCTCTGCATGGTCCCATTGATCCTGGAATTAGGGATTCCTGCTCTCTGTGTGTGCAGACACTAGGGGGAAGGGATTGGGCTCCAGCAATAATCTCTGCATGTTCCCATTGATGCTGGAATTAGGGATTCCTGCTCTCTGTGTGTGCAGACACTGGGGGGAATGGATTGGGCTCCAGCAATAATATCTGCATGGTCCCATTGATCCTGGAATTAGGGATTCCTGCTCTCTGTGTGTGGAGACACTGGGGGGAAGGGATTGGGCTCCAGCAATAATCTCTGCATGTTCCCATTGATCCTGGAATTAGGGATTCCTGCTCTCTGTGTGTGCAGACACTAGGGGGAAGGGATTGGGCTCCAGCAATAATCTCTGCATGTTCCAATTGATCCTGGAATTAGGGATTCCTGCTCTCTGTGTGGGCAGACACTGGGGGGGAAGGGATTGGGCTCCAGCAATAATCTCTGCATGTTCCCATTGATCCTAGAATTAGGGATTCCTGCTCTCTGTGTGTGGAGACACTGGGGGGAAGGGATTGGGCTCCAGCAATAATCTCTGCATGTTCCAATTGATCCTGGAATTAGGGATTCCTGCTTTCTGTGTGGGCAGACACTGGGGGGGAAGGGATTGGGCTCCAGCAATAATCTCTGCATGTTCCCATTGATCCTAGAATTAGGGATTCCTGCTCTCTGTGTGTGGAGACACTGGGGGGAAGGGATTGGGCTCCAGCAATAATCTCTGCATGTTCCCATTGATCCTGGAATTAGGGATTCCTGCTCTCTGTGTGTGCAGACACTGGGAAGGGGATTGGGCTCCAGCAGCTAATCTCTGCATGTTCCCATTGATCCTGGAATTGGGAGTTCCTGCTCTCTGTGTGTTACTGAGACACTGGGGGAAGGGGATTGGGCTCAGCAATAGTCTCTGCGTATTTCCCATTGATCCTGGGTGGGGTTCCTGCTCTCTGTGTGGAGGACACTGGGGAGGATTGGGCTCCAACAATAATCTCTGCATGTTCCCATTGATCCTGGAATTAGGGAGTTCCTGCTCTCTGTGTGTGCAGACACTGCTGGGAGGGGAGTTGGGCTCAGCAATAGTCTCTGCATGGTCCCATTGATCCTGGGTGGGATTCCTGCTCTCTGTGTGCAGACTGGGGGTTGGGCTCCAGCAATAATCTCTGCATGTTCCCATTGATCCTGGAATTAGGGATTCCTGCTCTCTGTGTGTGCAGACACTGGGGGGAAGGGATTGGGCTCCAGCAATAATCTCTGCATGTTCCCATTGATCCTGGAATTAGGGATTTCTGCTCTCTGTGTGTGCAGACACTGGGGGGAAGGGATTGGGCTCCAGCAATAATCTCTGCATGTTCCCATTGATCCTGGAATTAGGGATTCCTGCTCTGTGTGTGCAGACACTGGGGAGGAAGGGATTGGGCTCCAGCAATAATCTCTGCATGTTCCCATTGATCCTGGAATTAGGGATTCCTGCTCTCTGTGTGTGGAGACACTGGGGGGAAGGGATTGGGCTCCAGCAATAATCTCTGCATGTTCCCATTGATCCTGGAATTAGGGATTCCTGCTCTCTGTGTGTGCAGACACTGGGGGGAAGGGATTGGGCTCCAGCAATAATCTCTGCATGTTCCCATTGATCCTGGGATTAGGGATTCCTGCTCTCTGTGTGTGCAGACACTGGGGGGAAGGGATTGGGCTCCAGCAATAATCTCTGCATGTTCCCATTGATCCTGGAATTAGGGATTCCTGCTCTCTGTGTGTGCAGACACTGGGGGAAGGGACTGGGCTCCAGCAATAATCTCTGCATGTTCCCATTGATCCTGGAATTAGGGATTCCTGCTCTCTGTGTGTGCAGACACTGGGGGGAAGGGATTGGGCTCCAGCAATAATCTCTACATGTTCCCATTGATCCTGGAATTTGGGATTCCTGCTCTCTGTGTGTGGAGACACTGGGGGGAAGGGATTGGGCTCCAGCAATAATCTCTGCATGTTCCCATTGATCCTGGAATTAGGGATTTCTGCTCTCTGTGTGTGCAGACACTGGGGGGAAGGGATTGGGCTCCAGCAATAATCTCTGCATGTTCCCATTGATCCTGGAATTAGGGATTCCTGCTCTCTGTGTGTGGAGACCCCGGGGCGGAAGGGATTGGGCTCCAGCAATAATCTCTGCATGTTCCCATTGATTCTGGAATTAGGGATTCCTGCTCTCTGTGTGTGGAGACACTGGGGGGAAGGGATTGGGCTCCAGCAATAATCTCTGCATGTTCCCATTGATTCTGGAATTAGGGATTCCTGCTCTCTGTGTGTGCAGACACTGGGGGGGAAGGGATTGGGCTCCAGCAATAATCTCTGCATGTTCCCATTGATCCTGGAATTAGGGATTCCTGCTCTCTGTGTGTGGAGACACTGGGGGGAAGGGATTGGGCTCCAGCAATATTCTCTGCATGTTCCCATTGATCCTGGAATTAGGGATTCCTGCTCTCTGTGTGTGCAGACACTGGGGGGAAGGGATTGGGCTCCAGCAATAATCTCTGCATGTTCCCATTGATCCTGGAATTAGGGCTTCCTGCTCTCTGTGTGGAGACACTGGGGGGAAGGGATTGGGCTCCAGCAATAATCTCTGCATGTTCCCATTGATCCTGGAATTAGGGATTCCTGCTCTCTGTGTGTGCAGACACTGGGGGGAAGGGACTGGGCTCCAACAATAATCTCTGCATGTTCCCATTGATCCTGGAATTAGGGATTCCTGCTCTCTGTGTGTGCAGACACTGGGGGGAAGGGATTGGGCTCCAGCAATAATCTCTGCATGTTCCCATTGATCCTGGAATTAGGGATTTCTGCTCTCTGTGTGTGCAGACACTGGGGGGAAGGGATTGGGCTCCAGCAATAATCTCTGCATGTTCCCATTGATCCTGGAATTAGGGATTCCTGCTCTCTTGTGTGTGCAGACACTGGGGGGAAGGGATTGGGCTCCAGCAATAATCTCTGCATGTTCCCATTGATCCTGGAATTAGGGATTCCTGCTCTCTGTGTGTGGAGACACTGGTGGGAAGGGATTGGGCTCCAGCAATAATCTCTGCATGTTCCCATTGATCCTGGAATTAGGGATTCCTGCTCTCTGTGTGTGCAGACACTGGGGGGAAGGGATTGGGCTCCAGCAATAATATCTGCATGGTCCCATTGATCCTGGAATTAGGGATTCCTGCTCTCTGTGTGTGCAGACACTAGGGGGAAGGGATTGGGCTCCAGCAATAATCTCTGCATGGTCCCATTGATCCTGGAATTAGGGATTCCTGCTCTCTGTGTGTGCAGACACTAGGGGGAAGGGATTGGGCCCCAGCAATAATCTCTGCATGTTCCCATTGATCCTGGAATTAGGGATTCCTGCTCTCTGTGTGTGCAGACACTGGGGGGAAGGGATTGGGCTCCAGCAATAATCTCTGCACGTTCCCATTGATCCTGGAATTAGGGATTCCTGCTCTCTGTGTGTGGAGACACTGGGGGGAAGGGATTGGGCACCAGCAATAATCTCTGCATGTTCCCATTGATCCTGGAATTAGGGATTCCTGCTCTCTGTGTGTGGAGACACTGGGGGGAAGGGATTGGGCTCCAGCAATAATCTCTGCATGTTCCCATTGATCCTGGAATTAGGAGTTCTGCTCTCTGTGTGGAACACGGGGAAAGAGTTGGGCTCCAGCAATAATCTCTGCCATGTTCCCATTGATCCTGGAATTAGGGAGTTCTGCTCTCTGTGTGTGCAGACACTGGGGGATTGGGCTCCAGCAATAATCTCTGCATGTTCCCATTGGTCCTGGAATTAGGGATTCCTGCTCTCTGTGTGGGCAGACACTGGGGGGAAGGGATTGGGCTCCAGCAATAATCTCTGCATGTTCCCATTGATCCTGGAATTAGGGATTCCTGCTCTCTCTGTGTGGAGACACCGGGGGGAAGGGATTGGGCTCCAGCAATAATCTCTGCATGTTCCCATTGATCCTGGAATTAGGGATTCCTGCTCTCTGTGTGTGCAGACACTGGGGGGAAGGGGTTGGGCTCCAGCAATAATCTCTGCATGTTCCCATTGATCCTGGAATTAGGGATTCCTGCTCTCTGTGTGTGGAGACACTGGGGGGAAGGGATTGGGCTCCAGCAATATTCTCTGCATGTTCCCATTGATCCTGGAATTAGGGATTCCTGCTCTCTGTGTGTGCAGACACTGGGGGGAAGGGATTGGGCTCCAGCAATAATCTCTGCATGTTCCCATTGATCCTGGCATTAGGGATTCCTGCTCTCTGTGTGTGCAGACACTGGGGGGAAGGGATTGGGCTCCAGCAATAATCTCTGCATGTTCCCATTGATCCTGAAATTAGGGATTCCTGCTCTCTGGGTGTGCAGACACTGGGGGGAAGGGATTGGGCTCCAGCAATAATCTCTGCATGTTCCCATTGTTCCTGGAATTAGGGATTCCTGCTCTCTGTGTGTGCAGACACTGGGGGGAAGGGATTGGGCTCCAGCAATAATCTCTGCATGTTCCCATTGATCCTGGAATTAGGGCTTCCTGCTCTCTGTGTGTGCAGAAACTGGGGGGAAGGGATTGGGCTCCAGCAATAATCTCTGCATGTTCCCATTGATCCTGGAATTAGGGCTTCCTGCTCTCTGTGTGTGCAGACACTGGGGGGAAGGGATTGGGCTCCAGCAATAATCTCTGCATGTTCCCATTGATCCTGGAATTAGGGCTTCCTGCTCTCTGTTTGTGCAGAAACTGGGGGGAAGGGATTGTGCTCCAGCAATAATCTCTGCATGTTCCCATTGATCCTGGAATTAGGGATTCCTGCTCTCTGTGTGTGCAGACACTGGGGGGAAGGGATTGGGCTCCAGCAATAATCCCAGCATGTTCCCATTGATCCTGGAATTAGGGATTCCTGCTCTCTGTGTGTGCAGACACTGGGGGGAAGGGACTGGGCTCCAGCAATAATCTCTGCATGTTCCCATTGATCCTGGAATTAGGGGTTCCTGCTCTGTGTGTGGAGACACTGGGGGGAAGGGATTGGGCTCCAGCAATAATCTCTGCATGTTCCCATTGATCCTGGAATTAGGGATTCCTGCTCTCTGTGTTGAGACACTGGGGAAGGGATTGGGCTCAGCAATAATCTCTGCCATGTTCCCATTGTTGATCTGAGATTGAGTTCCTGCTCTGTGTGTGTGCAGACGCACAGGGGAAGGGATTGGGCTCCAGCAGTAATCTCAGCATGTTCCATTGATCCTGGAATTGAGGTTCCTGCTCTCTGTGTGTGCAGACACTAGGGAGGGTAGGATTGGGCTCCAGCAATAATCTCTGCATGTTCCCATTGATCCTGGAATTAGGGATTCCTGCTCTCTGTGTGTGCAGACACTGGGGGGAAGGGATTGGGCTCCAGCAATAATCTCTGCATGTTCCCAGTGATCCTGGAATTAGGGATTCCTGCTCTCTGTGTGTGTGCAGACACTGGGGGGAAGGGATTGGGCTCCAGCAATAATCTCTGCATGTTCCCATTGATCCTGGAATTAGGGATTCCTGCTCTCTGTGTATGGAGACACTGGGGGGAAGGGATTGGGCTCCAGCAATAATCTCTGCATGTTCCCAGTGATCCTGGAATTAGGGATTCCTGCTCTCTGTGTGTGCAGACACTGGGGGGAAGGGATTGGGCTCCAGCAATAATCTCTGCATGTTCCCATTGATCCTGGAATTAGGGATTCCTGCTCTCTGTGTGTGCAGACACTGGGGGGAAGGGATTGGGCTCCAGCAATAATCTCTGCATGTTCCCATTGATCCTGGAATTAGGGATTCCTGCTCTCTGTGTGTGCAGACACTGGGGGGAAGGGATTGGGCTCCAGCAATAATCTCTGTATGTTCCCATTGATCCTGGAATTAGGGATTCCTGCTCTCTGTGTGTGGAGACACTGGGGGGAAGGGATTGGGCTCCAGCAATAATCTCTGCATGTTCCCATTGATCCTGGAATTAGGGATTCCTGCTCTCTGTGTGTGCAGACACTGGGGGGAAGGGATTGGGCTCCAGCAATAATCTCTGCATGTTCCCATTGATCCTGGAATTATGGATTCCTGCTCTCTGTGTGTGCAGACACGGGGAGGGGGGAAGGGTTTGGGCTCAGCACACCCCTGCATGGTCCCATTGATCCTGGAATTAGGGATTCCTGCTCTCTGTGTGTGCAGACACTGGGGAAGGGTAGTCCAGCACACCCTGCATTGCCCCTACTGGATCCTGAAATTAGGGATCCTACTCTGTGTGTGCAGACACTGGGGAAGGGATTGGGTTCCAGCACACCCCTGCATGTTCCCATTGATCCTGAATTAGGGATTCCTACCTCTGTGTGTGTGCAGACACCTGTGAAGGGATTGGGCTCCAGCACACCCTGCATGTTCCCATTGATTCTGGAATTAGGATTCCTGCTCTCTGTGTGTGGAGACACTGGGGGGAAGGGATTGGGCTCCAGCAATAATCTCTGCATGTTCCCATTGATTCTGGAATTAGGGATTCCTGCTCTCTGTGTGTGCAGACACTGGGGGGGAAGGGATTGGGCTCCAGCAATAATCTCTGCATGTTCCCATTGATCCTGGAATTAGGGATTCCTGCTCTCTGTGTGTGGAGCCACTGGGGGGAAGGGATTGGGCTCCAGCAATAATCTCTGCATGTTCCCATTGATCCTGGAATTAGGGATTCCTGCTCTCTGTGTGTGGAGACACTGGGGGGAAGGGATTGGGCTCCAGCAATAATCTCTGCATGTTCCCATTGATCCTGGAATTAGGGATTCCTGCTCTCTGTGTGTGGAGACACTGGGGGGAAGGGATTGGGCTCCAGCAATAATCTCTGCATGTTCCCATTGATCCTGGAATTAGGGATTCCTGCTCTCTGTGTGTGCAGACACTGGGGGGAAGGGATTGGGCTCCAGCAATAATCTCTGCATGTTCCCATTGATCCTGGAATTAGGGATTCCTGCTCTCTGTGTGTGCAGACACTGGGGGGAAGGGATTGGGCTCCAGCAATAATCTCTGCATGTTCCCATTGATCCTGGAATTAGGGATTCCTGCTCTCTGTGTGTGCAGACACTGGGGGGAAGGGATTGGGCTCCAGCAATAATCTCTGCATGTTCCCATTGATCCTGGAATTAGGGATTCCTGCTCTCTGTGTGTGCAGACACTGGGGGGAAGGGATTGGGCTCCAGCAATAATCTCTGCATGTTCCCAGTGATCCTGGAATTAGGGATTCCTGCTCTCTGTGTGTGCAGACACTGGGGGGAAGGGATTGGGCTCCAGCAATAATCTCTGTATGTTCCCAGTGATCCTGGAATTAGGGATTCCTGCTCTCTGTGTGTGCAGACACTGGGGGGAAGGGATTGGGCTCCAGCAATAATCTCTGCATGTTCCCATTGATCCTGGAATTAGGGATTCCTGCTCTCTGTGTGTGCAGACACTGGGGGGAAGGGATTGGGCTCCAGCAATAATCTCAGCATGTTCCCATTGATCCTGGAATTAGGGATTCCTGCTCTCTGTGTGTGGAGACACTGGGGGGAAGGGATTGGGCTCCAGCAATAATCTCTGCATGTTCCCATTGATCCTTGAATTAGGGATTCCTGCTCTCTGTGTGTGCAGACACTGGGGGGAAGGGATTGGGCTCCAGCAATAATCTCTGCATGTTCCCATTGATCCTGGAATTAGGGCTTCCTGCTCTCTGTGTGTGCAGACACTGGGGGGAAGGGATTGGGCTCCAGCAATAATCTCTGCATGTTCCCATTGATCCTGGAATTAGGGATTCCTGCTCTCTGTGTGTGCAGACACTGGGGGGAAGGGATTGGACTCCAGCAATAATCTCTGCA